CTATTTTCATCTTCCGGGTTTAAAATCTACATTGTGTTGACGTCCCAATTTGTGACGCGGCAATGGACTATAGTACATCGATGACGTGTCGGTGTCTAATAAATTATTCATGAGACTGCGTGTTCTTATCCTATGAGAAGAGGCTTTGCTTAATTATTCACAACAGCATGTGTTGATTTGCTATGACAGACGTTTCAGACTGTGAGACTGCGTACATTAACTGAGAGAAACGTTAATGGTTCGATTGGAAGGAGAGCGTTTGTTTTTGCTTTGTAATAAGAGTTCGGCACAAACGCGATTCATTCACTTGATGAGCATAACCGTTTTTACAGCTCTGTGACACAACCCGTCAAAAGGCTTATATAACACCACAGAATAAGCCTTAAAAGTTCTCAGAGGTGCAACAGCGCGTTCATTTGTTTTCGATGCAGAGTGCAAATGGCTGTGCATTTATTTGTGTTTTTAACTCGATGGGAGCGAAATGAAACTGTCTGAACACTAAGCTGTGTGTGGTGTCGTCTGTCTCCCCTCTTCCCCCTCCTCTGCTCCGCTGCACACCACACCACACCCACTTTTTTAGCATTTTTTAAAACTGTGGTGAGAACTAACCAGTGCTGAAACGAGGGGGTTTCATGACCCTTTAAGGTACAATCACAGTAACATTATGTGACGTACTCATTTCAACAGGAATTCACACCACTGGGATTTTTGCATGAGGATGAAAGATTTCCACGTGCAGATTTCACAATGGATTCAGCTGGTTGCACCAATTTGTTATTATTCTTCTATTTGTTTTGCTTGACAAATCTTGTGTGTGTGTGATGTGTGTATATACAGTGGGGCAAAAAAGTATTTAGTCAGCCACCAATTGTGCAAGTTCTCCCACTTAAAAAGGTCTGTAATTTTCATCATAGGTATACCTCAACTATGAGAGACAAAATGAGAAAAAAAAAATCCAGAAAATCACATTGTATTTGGATACACATTGGATTTTTAAAGAATTAATTGGTAAATTCCTCAGTAAAATAAGTATTTGGTCACCTACAAACAAGCAAGATTTCTGGCTCTCACAGACCTGTAACTTCTTCTTTAAGAGGCTCCTCTGTCCTCCACTGGTTACCTGTATTAATGGCATCTGTTTGAACTTGTTATCAGTATAAAAGACACCTGTCCACAACCTCAAACAGTCACACTCCAAACTCCACCATGGCCAAGACCAAAGAGCTGTCAAAGGACACCAGAAACAAAATTGTAGACCCGCACCAGGCTGGGAAGACTGAATCTGCAATAGGTAAGCAGCTTAGTGTGAAGAAATCAACTGTGGGAGCAAATATTAGAAAATGGAAGAAGGCATGTGGGAAGACACCAAATGTTTATTCCTGGCAAGAGCCCTACTCCGGTCATGGGAGTTTCTTATTTGTTGCCTCTGATAAATAAATTAGAGGTTAAAGAAGTCACCGCTTGCCACTGCTATAAAGTTCTGTAGAGTCGCTCAGTGATGAAAACAGTGAAGCCGTTCACTGTCAGATATTCTAAGGATTTCTCTGAAGATGCTCAGTGAGCAGACTAGGGAGGACGTGTATGTGCCTCCGTTGTACAGTTTTAAAGGTTTGTCAAAAGGCTCATGGAAATCACAATGACAGCACGATTCCAGACACGTTCGTGTGTCCCTGCATGAATAGTGCTGCTGCTGACATGTAGACAGAGACTGACGGCTGGCCTTAAGAGCACAGAGAGCTGCGTGATTCACGGCGACATGTCAAACTGCATTAGCAGCAGTTTGCATAAAACTGACACACATAAAACTTCCACACTGACTCACTGCTGACTTCCTGCTCTCTAGCCAATAATCACGAGCGGAGTGTGAAGTCATCACACCACTGTCACTATCATCACTGCCTGCTGACAATATACTGTCACACAGAGTACTCACAGTTCTAGTTCTTCAGTGCTAAGCGTCAGCATCCATCCTCTGTCTTCACTAGTTTACAGTCCAGCTATATTACAGCTATAGGACAGGAAGAGCTAAATAAACTTATCACTGCATCTAAACCAACAACATGCCTGTTAGATCCTGTACCCACTAAATTACTGAAAGAGTTGTTACCTGTAGCAGAAGAACCGCTTCTCAATATTATTAACTCGTCGTTGTCTTTAGGTCACGTCCCAAAAACATTCAAGCTGGCGGTCATTAAGCCTCTTATTAAGAAACCACAACTAGATCCTAGTGAACTGGCAAATTACAGACCCATCTCAAATCTTCCTTTTATGTCAAAAATTTTAGAAAAAGTTGTGTCTGCTCAATTGTGCTCCTGCCTGCAAAAAAATGATCTCTATGAAGAATTTCAGTCAGGCTTCAGGCCCCACCATAGCACAGAAACTGCACTTGTTAAAATTACAAATGACTTGCTTCTTGCGTTTTAACACTTCTAATAAATTATTAGAACAAACCTTTAAACACTATATGAGAAAGTATTACAGCATTTGCGTTTATTAGCAACAGAAAGGCAAACGCTATAGGCTAATACTTTCTCAACTACTATCAGTTTTCAGCAAATATGCATTTATATCATTTAAACATATATATATATATATACATATATATATATATATATATATATATGAATATTTAATAAACATCTAATTTCACAAAACTTGCAAACTTGGTGAATCCAGCTGTAAGATTTATCTCCAGAAATATCCTGGCTGGATTTTCTGCTCAAAATGTCCAGGTTTTGATATTGTTTTCCTATTATTTTCATACTTGCTGAAGGTAATGACTGAAAAGTAATTTGACCAATAGCGTGCAAGCGTTGTACATTATTGACCAATTATGTATGGCCGCGTCCATGAGGGTACTATGATGTATTTGTGTCATATTCTTTATTTTATTCATGTTATATTATTTTTACGTATATTTTAAATATTTAAATTTTTATTTGTGAAAAATACTATAATATGATTACAGAATCAAGAAGTTACCATAAAAAGAATAGATTTTTTTTTTTACAAATTTCACTTGATTAAGTTCATATTTTTTTCCATTTAATTCTTTTTCAAAAGATTTATTATGATCTAAATGACTAAATATGTAAAATAAATGTAATTTCAGCAATTATGCATGTTTTTATTATCTTTAAATGACAGTGTGATGTCAAAGGAATCCCATGTGAGCAGAATTAATTTACTTGTGTATGAGACGTCTCCACCTCAGCATCGCATTAGTATTCATGTGTGAGAGTGTGCGTGTGAGTGTGTGTGTGTGAGTGTGTGTGTGTGAGTGTGTGTGTGTGAGAGTGTGTGTGTGTGTGTGTGTGAGTGTGTGTGTGTGTGAGAGAGTGTGTGAGTGTGTGTGTGAGAGAGTGTGTGAGTGTGTGTGTGAGAGAGTGTGTGAGTGTGTGTGTGAGAGAGTGTGTGAGTGTGTGTGTGAGAGAGTGTGTGAGTGTGTGTGTGAGAGAGTGTGTGAGTGTGTGTGTGAGAGAGTGTGTGAGTGTGTGTGTGAGAGAGTGTGTGAGTGTGTGTGTGAGAGAGTGTGTGAGTGTGTGTGTGAGAGAGTGTGTGAGTGTGTGTGTGAGAGAGTGTGTGAGTGTGTGTGTGAGAGAGTGTGTGAGTGTGTGTGTGAGAGTGTGTGTGTGTGTGTGTGTGAGTGTGTGTGTGTGTGAGAGTGTGAGAGAGTGTGTGTGTGTGAGAGTGTGTGAGTGTGAGAGTGTGTGAGTGTGTGTGAGGCTGCGTTTACACTGCAAGTCTTAATGCACAGATCCAATCTTTTGACCATATCCGATTTTTTGGCACATCTGTTTACATTCACTTTAGACACAACTGGTATTCGATATCTGCGTTTACATTAATTCCCACCCAAAAGGATTGTCTGCAGTGATCGCTTTACTATGCACATGGTAAACCCTCGGGTTTTAAATGGCCGTGCTTTTAAAATTATTTATATAATTCACGTCGAATGGCCATTATTATTTGCCAGCATGGACAACGGCTGTCATGGATGTTTTGCAGCACAAAATCTGACTGAACGGATAAAGGCTGGAAAATAACGGTAATTTTAATTTGTTAGACTATTTATCTACAGCTCGTTAGAGGTAGAATTCTTTAGTGAAATAAAGATGATATTTATTGAAATGAATTTGAATTAAGGAGAGAGAGAGAACGAACGCATGCACCCACGTGCGAGCGAGCGATTGTGAAGCATTGCAAACAAGCTTGTCAGTTTAATTACAAAAACTGCCAAGTTATCACCTCATTGCTGAGAAATATATGTAGCTTTTAGCTGTTGTATTTTCAAAATTCACGGGGCGGGGGTTGAAAACCAGCTCCTGAGTGTTCAATTTCTTACCTATAAAAAGTTTCCATCTCAATAAAATGCGAGCGCATACAGCACGCCGGCATTAAAACGCCATTAAAAATCTTTATGAGCAAACGTGTTGCACTTGCATTGGGAGTTCTGTGGAGAATCAGATATGTGTGTTTAGATGTAGGTCGGATGTCCAGATATCAGATGTGTATCCGATTAAAATCCAACTTTGGAAGTGGCTCAGATCGGATGCAAAAAAATCGGATCTCATGCGGGGTTTTGTGTTTACACGTGTGCAACAAATTCCGATCTGTGTCAGATGTGAGCAAAAGATCGGATTTTTTGTGCCAGTGTAAACGCAGCCTGAGTGTGTGCGTGAGTGTGTGTGAGAGTGAGTGTGAGAGAGTGTGTGTGTGTGTGCGTGTGAGAGTGAGTGTGTGTGTGAGTGAGTGAGTGTGTGCGTGTGAGAGTGTGTGTGCATGTGAGAGTGTGTGTGTGTGTGAGAGTGAGTGAGTGTGTGCGTGAGTGTGTGTGTGTGTGTGTGTGACTCACTTGTCCTCCACCCCAGTCGCTCCCAGCAGCTCCAGGTCTTTCTCGATGAAGTTGAAGACCTCGACCAGTCGTTCCTCTCTCTGCTGCAGAGCCGTTCTGGCTTCATGGAGCCGCCGGTCCACTTCCTGATACTCATCTGCACTGAAGTGTCTGCAGGCCACCACCAACGTCCGCAAACCCTTCTACAAAAGTGAGATGGAACAAACCAATAAGAACATGATTTGCTGGAACATGAGGAAGAAAGTCCATTCTACTGATTCAAACACAAATGAAGGATCAAATTTGCTGTATTATACACAAAATAATGTAATACAAAAGTTAATGTAAAGGAGAACTGAGAACTGCTGGCTAAGAAGTTGCTTGAAAGCTCCATGACCATAACTGAGTTAATGCTTTTAAGCACAGATATAGAGAGCATTCAGCGTATGGAGGAGCATTTCAATGTGGCTGTTGTGTCTGAAACATCCCATGAGTCTCAATACAATCCTCTGAGAACTCCGTCTGTCTGTGTGTGTGTGTGTGACACTGGTGATGTGGGTCTGAGGACACTCTCATGGGTTTCAGCACAGCTGATAATGAGGAGCTAATTAACTGCAGCGCTCTCATCAACATCATTTGAATTAAAAAAGCTGAACTCAGACCAGACCTTGACATTTCAACGAAACTATTAGATGTCTGAAGAAAAAGTTTAGCAGGCGCTCGCCGATCCATGCTTGCGAGAAGCTGTTAGGGCATTTCGAGGTGATTGTCTAGGTAGTTGTTTCCTACAGAAATCAAAGTCTCTGCAATATTCTGGGGCCGGATTCTTCATGACATATTCCACATGTCACGTCACTTTAATAATAAAATTCTCTGTAACTGCTATTTGTTGTAAAATGTAATAATAAAGTTAATACTTTGTATTCTCTAAAACATTTAATAATGTTATTGTCTTATTTTTTGAAGATTGTTCTAAAGAAAAAAACTTAATTTGAATTTCCAAAAAAGTCACTGTAAATTAACACATTTGCAAAATTTACAAAAATGATACATTTTTCATTGTCAATAATATAGGGATGTGTGAATCACAGCTCACAAAGAAGTCACTTTCAAAACCAAACGGCTTTCTGCTGGTCAACGTGAACGACTGAGATGAAATTCCCAATCGCATGAATTCCTATTGAAATGAATGGAATTTGCCCACAAAATTTTGCAGAGTAACAGTAAATGTGACCGAACCTTAATAGGATTACTACTAACTAGAGTGAACTAGTAAGCCAGCATGGCAGCATGATGTAGAGAGCTCACCAGAGCAAACTCATCCACGTGGACTCTGGTTTTATCGATCTCTCCGCTCGTGGTGTAGGGCAGAACGGCTGATTCGGCTCCTTTTGTGAATAGCACCTTTTCACCTAATGAGAGACAGAAGGTCATTAGGTAACGCTCACGCACTGCGGTTCAGTCTTAAACAGCACAAGCGTGTTCAGAGGCACATGCCTGAGGGCTTCTGCAGAATCACACTCATTCTCCTGCGGTTCGCGTCGAACTCCAGAACGTGGAGGAGTTTGTACCTGCGTGCAGAAAGACAGCTGTTAAACAGACAACTCTAAAAGCTAAACAACCTTCTGAATACGGTTCACATTTAGTGAGCTAAAATAAACAGAAGAGCGTGATATACTTCTCTGCTTTTCCTAATGTTTTAATCTCCATGATTTCTCCATGGCTTCCTATAAATGTGACACCCATCCTGCAGTCAAAAAGATCATTTAAAGATATAGTTCCCACAAATGTTTCAACAATCATGGTCAAAAGAATATATTTGGCACATTGACTGCAAAAAAACACAGACGTATGTGAGCTACAGCTGTGCTCTCACCTCTTGGTGGCTTCCACGAGTGCTTTCTCATCAGGAGAAGAGGCGTAATACTCCATCTGAGGCGAGAAGCCGTTGGCATGTGAGAACGGGTCTCCCGGCCCATCTGTTTGATCATAACTGATCTGCACCGTGTGACACAGTGAGACGGCTTTCAGGAACAACTCCTCCTCCCCGTTCTGAAAGGTGTACACACACACTTTGATTTATATACTTGATAATAATAGTATTAAATAATAATAATATACATATGCGTTTTAGTTATTTTAGTACATCAAGTTCAATTAAAATGAGAAATGCCTTGGCAACTAGCTGAAATTATTTTTTTTTATATATATTTATTGTATTTCATGATGTTATTTTATGTCTTTTTCATTCAATGTTCATTAGAAGTCCAAGCAAAGTGTGTCAAAATTGCACCTATAGACGGTGATACAACTGAAAATCTTTAATTATGGCATAACCGTATGATCAATAAAGTTGAAAATTGGTATGCATCATCTTCGGCGGGTGTCTTAACCTATCCTCTAAAATGACTCGGCTATATAAAAAAACATTGCCGCCAGCTGCCAATCAACTTTCAGTGGCTTAATAACGCCAAATCTGAATGTCCTAATGTTAAAAAAATTTATATATTCGTACATTGTGTGAAAACGAGTATGTTCCTCATTTTTTTTTAAAAAAACAAGTTTTTGCCAAAAACGTAAGTCTCCCCAAATAAGCTGATCATATCTGTATCCATTTCCTCAAAAACAAAAACAAAAAAAAAACGTTTCTGTCATTGATTGATTTTGGGTGTGGCCCATATTGTTTAATTAGCCTATATCTTGTGATCATATCATCCAAACTTCATGAAACATAAAACATATGGACAACAGAATATTCCTAGGAAACATGCCAGCTTTCATGAATTTTCAATGCAAGAGGGCACTATAACTTAACACTAACCTAATAGTGCAACTGTGATAAACAAGCTGAGATCCGACTCATACAAAGAAGTACTCACAGCATCCACAGGAAAGATTCTTTTGAAATTCACTATTTTGATTATGTTTTCCAAATTTACTACATACAATGAAAATGAATGGAATGGTAAAGTGTGTTTCTGCACCACTATCCTCACCAGCAGAATTGTACAAATGAACCTTACCAAACAAGGCACCGATCCGTCTGGAGAGTCTTCTGTCATTCCTTCAGGGACGAGCTTCCCGTTGATCTCCTGGTATTTGATCCCGTTGATAGAACACTCCCTAAACTGCATCTCGTTCTCAGTGAGGGTTCCCGTTTTGTCTGTGAAAACGTACTCCACCTGCGGGCGCAACATTAGCATGGTTTACTCATCTCAGGTAGTATTATAGCTGGGCAAACAGTTCTAATCTCACACACACACACACACACACACACACACACACACACACCTGGCCCAGCTCCTCATTGAGGTCTGATGTGTTGACTTGAGCCTTCTGGTCGCTCTCTTCATGGTACAGATCCAAGTCCCAGCCAATGAAAAAAGAGCCCAGAAACTTCTGCAGCTCAACAGTCACGTACAGCGAGATGGGGATTATGAAGTTGTACAACACCAGGAATGCCAGGAAGTCGGAAATAAACTTTAAAATCTGTGAGGAGAAATTCACCAGCAGTCTTAATGAAACCTGATCTGCCAGACGTCTCATAGTATGAATTTTAAATGTAAAATAACATAACCATTATAAGCTGAGTGTAGACACTTTATAGTGACCTGGCTGCTGTTTCTCTCCTGATCGGTCTTCTGGTTGTAAAACGGCTCATCCCACTTGTTCTCTGCCTGCCAGGCGTACTTTAAAATAGTGCTGAGGATGGCTTCAAACAGCAGAATGCCCAAGTAGATGATGAGAAATGTATTCATGGATCTGCACGAGAGACACGATGTGGTCATAATGGAGCACTGAGAACTGCTGACGTAAAGCGGTTGTGTGACGTGGAAATGGAAATGATGACACACATACTTCTCCACTGCAGAGCGCTTCTGGGATTTGCACTTGTAGTTAAGAGCCATCTTGGACTCCATGCCTGTGTACACGGCTACACCTGCATGATACAACTCCAGTTACGCTCACACCATCAAAAGGTGTCACTGGCAAGATCACAATTTTGATTAAACATTACAAACGTTTTTTGGGAGTAAAGTGCAGTGATAAGTTACGAAATAAGTAAACAAGGTCCATTTTGAATTCATGTAGACTTTAAATGTCCTAAGTTGGACCCTGATGGTGTGAATGCCATACCAAAGATTTCTTTGGTGTTTTTTAATCTTGCTCCTCGAAGCAGGAGGTTCTCTGATCCTAAGGGTCTGAAAGGAATAACCAAAAATATAAATAAACAAACAAACAAATAAAAAATAAACAACCTAAATACTTAAACACATACAATTTACATAAAATAAATGACAAAACATTAATAATAAATAAACAGATCATTTCTACATATAGATTTTATAAATAGTCAAAACCGTATTCATCTCAGATTTGAAGCTGGTCTTACCTGACTATCTCCTCTCCTTGTTGGGTTACTGTTATTCTCCCGACAAACCTGAGAAGACAGAACGTGCTGCGTCAGGACTCACAGAACTGAGAACAGCATCAAGCTGACTGTGTGAGGAGGATTTCGGTGATCTGACTGTGAATGGTACCTGTATAAGTCTGCCTCTGGCTGCTGGCACTCCACCACCGCCTGGAGAGACTCCAGCCGCGACACCGACTGCGACACCGCCGTTTCTGGCACCGCATAGTGTGTCTACACATCAGCAGAGAGAACACATTCAGTCTGAGAATGGCACATCTCACTTCTGACTTAACAGCACATAAATGCTATGTGTTACATATATTGGACAGCAGACACACATGCACTGTCAAATAAAAATATCTGGATATTAAATCACTTTTATTAAGATATCTCACATTAGCCAGACACAGACGGTATATTTGTGAAGCGGTTAAACATTGGGGATGGGCGATTAGCAAATATTTATATTACAAAATTTAAATTTCATGGAAATCTGAAACAAAAAAACTATCATAAATGACAATTACCAAAAGAATGGAAGGACCACAAATATGATAAACATTTATTATTATTTAAATAGTCATTTTTTTATTATTATTTAAATAGTCATGAACATCGCAATGAAACACCTTAATAAATAACTACAGTAAAAGGGAGGAAATTATATAAAGAAAAAAAAAAAAAAAAAAAAAAAAAAAAAAAAAAAAAAAAAAAAAAAAAATTAAAAAAAAATAAATCTCAAAATACTATTTTAGAAAGAAACTCTAAATACTAAGTCTCTAATAATATTTTGACCAAATTGAATGATGTTTAAATGACCGATAAACAATTAAATAAAAATAAAATTTTATCTATGTATTAAGGTGCATTTACTGTTCTGCAATTTTTTCAAGGGCGAAATCCAGTCATTTTAATAGGAATCTACGCGACTGGGACTTTCACACGAGGGTGAAAAATTCACACACAGATTTGGCAACTGGTTTTCACACTGACTCGCTGCACTGACCAACAGAAAGCTGTTTGGTTTGAAAATGGCTTCTGTGTGAGCTGTGCTTCATACATTGCTACACTATTGACATTTCATGATGGACATATTACATATTTCAGTTGTCCATTTTTTTTTTACGCAACTTTTTTTCCCTCTCTTTTTAGAGATATTTTCTTTAATTCTGCAGCTTCTCAATCACATGTTTTGGATAGCCTTTCCTGACACACTGAAAACCTTTTTGACGACTATATATACACTCCACATTAAAGCTCATACAGACATTACTCAGCATTTCTTGAGCTAATCCACTCAGTCTCTCTGCACATTTGACAGAAGCTGCATAACACAGTGAGCTAAATATGACAGCAGAGCTTAGTGGAGGGTCAGTTCGACAAAACCAGCCAGAAAATACACTCAGTTTCGTTTCACAAGCCTTCAGTACACAAAAACTGCTTTGAGGTGGACGCCGCTGAACATAACAACAACTTGCGGTTCAATAAGTGAGTCACGTGTTTATACAGTAACCTCTCTGAGAAATTCAGTGAGACGCTGTTGTTTAAGAGCACAAAACACAGACCTTCAGGTTAGTCTCTCCATCCAGGCTGGCAGTGGTGATGTGGCACGTCCCCTCGGCCCGATCTGATGACAAAAGCACCAGATCTGCAGGAAACGTCTCATCTTTGGCTACTCTCACAATATCACCTACCTATGAGATCACAGGAGGAATATACATTTTTTTATATTTATTATTTGAAGTTGTCTGGCAGAATTAATCATGGGATTCCCAATGCTGTTGGCTGAAACTCACTCGGATGTTTTTAGATCGGGTTTGGACCAGACTGCCACTGCGCACGACAAATACAGGTGCTCCATTCACTTCATTGTCAGCTTTGTGCCTCAGCCAGTCTTCATAGCCCTGTATTTGAGAGCGGGATTATGAAAAACAGACAACTGACTGGTTATCCTCCAATCAGTCTGGCACAACACTGCGTACACATCATTCATGAACACGAGCTGCCTAAGCATGCTTGTACACTCACCTGTTTGATGGCAGTTACTGTGATGACAAAGAACAGCGGAAGTCCACTAGTTATAGGGGAAGTGGGTGTATCTATCATTAACTGTAGGGGAGAGAGAGGATCTGGTTAGAAACAGGGCAGAACTGTGTCATATACTGCCTTTAACCTCCACAGCCATGCATCGCCTTTGAAAGAACAAGGAGACATGTTTCATCTAGAAAAACAGTGTATTTTTAACATTAGGGCTGTGCAAAAATACAAAAAAAAAAAATTACAAAAGCTGCCACTGGGGCAGAACCCTTTCAAAAGGTACACATTTGTACCTTGTTTACCCCAAAGGGGTGCACATAAGCACCTTAACAGTTACCTTTCAAAAAAGGTTCTGCCCCAGTGACAGCTTTTGTGCCTTTTTTTCCCCTGAGTACACGATATATTATAAATCCACACAATATTTGTGTTATTACTATGTTGGCAACCTCAAATATTGTTTTATATTGCAATGACTTTAAAGGTGCGGTCACATGTTCCATAGTTCTGCAAACTTTCCCAGGCAAAATCCAGTCATTTCAGTAGGAATCCATGTGATTGTGAAATTCACCGAGTGAATTCAGAGCATAATATAAGGTGTGACTTCAGGCAAGCATGATTTCATGCTCACATTATTGTCGGTTGGATGACATGTTGAGAACGACAGGTGAACAGTGATTGTTGTGTTGTACTTTAACATGACCAAGGTGTTTGTAGTGAACATAATCTTTACTTACAGGAACTGTTTCCAACACTGATGTCGCTGAACCTGTATTATTTTTTCAAGCCAGGGATTATGAAGCTAAAACAGCCTCCAAATATATTTATGATAAAATATGATCCACAAATGCGGAAGCTAATTTACATGACCAGAAAGTTGATATATTTGCAAACAGCAATTCTCAAAGTCATTACCTAACTCATATTCACAAAATATTGTGAACAAGTATTTTGTGAATGTGAATTGGATTATGAGTTTGTGAACAGCTGTTTCCGAATGCGAATGTGAAAAAGGTTGCACAATTTTTATTTTTTTTTTATTTTTTAGACTCTCAAAATACAGCAGCTCTCCTGTGGGAAACACTGGTGATGAAGATCATCATCAGCATCACACACTCAGCTGAGAGCTGGGAAACATGAGGACGACCTGGGCTTACCTGAACCAAGAAGATGATGAGAAAATAAAAATTGGCGATTCTTCTGAACTGCTCAAACAAATTCTTGGGGATGAAATTCCATATGGTGTACTACAAAAAGCAAACAAAACAGCGTTGAGGATTTTACTGCCAAATTCTCAACATGAGCAGGGAAACACATGCACACGCGAGTCAAGTGATTGTAGGTCTTTTTTTTAAAAAGACTTTTTCACATTCAAGCGTTCAGAGCAATCATGCTGTCTGCTCTTACCTTGGAGGAAATGATCCTGTTGTCTGCAAACCTCTGAGGAATATAATGGCCATGCTGTGGGAACTTGTTTGCTATGTAAACTGTGCGTGTGTCACTCTGATGGGGAGGGTCGAAGCCCTGGAAGAGATGAGGAGAGACGAGTCAGTCAGTGTGACAGACAAGACAGGCCAGAGACATCAACAACTGCTGTTAAATATTTCACCTACGGCGATAGATAATATAACAGCCATTGGTGAAACCGTGATCGAATCGTAAAGCTTATAGAGAACAGTACGCTGAAGAAGCGGAGAGTCTGGTGGGAAGGCATAACACGCTGCCAAAGTCATTATTAATTCAGTTAGTGTGCAGCAAACAATTCATTACGGGAGGCCTTTTCACAGCACATGAGAGCTAAGTCACTTACTATCGAACTCCTACTGCTTTCTGACTTTCTTTTTGGTCGGCAGGCCAGACGCACATCCTGTATGTGACAATCAGAAGCCAGATTCACGGAAATATTTTTAAGAGAAGAAGATTCTATAGATAAATTATTTTTGTGAGAATGTTCCTAATTGCAATTCTTGACAAATTCTTAATTTTTAAAAATATTTTCTTAAGAGCATCTTTTTTAAAAAGAAAGAAAAATACAGGTTTTGGCACTATCTGATTGTATGCTGGTTCTTGTCGAAGACTCGCTGATCAGCTTAATAATGGAAAAACATCGCAAATGTCATCTTTTTGCAAATTACCATAATAAACACAAGCAAGCATGAACACTACTAGTGGTCGACCGATATTGTTTTTTTGACAGCCGATGCCGATATCTTGGAAAGCAGGGTGGCTGATGGCCGATATAAAACAGATATAATTTTATTTAATATTTAAGAAATTTGAAATAATTTGAAAATGGATAAAAAAATAAATGTGTAAAATAAACATGCTTATACTTTAAATGACAAAGTATTTTCACAAATAAACAAATATTTTATAAAAAAAATAATTAAAAAGGAAGTAAACACTGTAACCAACAAGGCACTCAGTATTCTGGAAAGTTTGTGTGCATTGGGAATTAAATTTTTTCAAATAAAGCCAAGGTAACACTCTTTTTACATACAGCACACAGTGGAAATGACATTAATATGGCAGTGGGCAAAAGCATGTAGCACAGCATAATTTGAAATAATGAGTTTAAAGTTTGTCGATCATGTGTCTCCAGTGAAGCTGAACTCTCCTCCTGTCCGCATTCAATTCACACGGACCGACCGTCACGCAGAGAACACGCAATCATGCAGGTCACATGCACACTTCACAAGATCTTACAGCTGGATCCGACTGAGTTTGTAAGGTTTTTGAAATTAGGTGTTCATTAGTCATTCAAAGATTTGTTTAAATTATGCAAATGCTTATCTGCTGAATGCTGACGGCAAACGAGAACGTATTATGTTTGCCTTTCTATTACTAACAATATAAAAGCAATCGTTATACTCTCTTGTATACATTTTAATTCCTTTGTTTAACAGTTCTATCTGATTATTAGACAGACTTCTGTCCGTGGACAGGACTGTTAACGATGACAGCGTACAAGAGGGAGAATGTGAGCACTGTGCCTTTCTCAGTGCCCTCAAAATAAAAGTCCCACCACGAACGCATCGGCCAAACAGAAAGACTTATCGGCCAATGCCGATATTTGAAAAATGCCAAATATCGGCCGATATATCGGTCGACCACAAACGAGAACGTATTATGTTTGCCTTTCTATTACTAACAATATAAAAGCAATCGTTATAATACTTTTTTGTATCCACCTTTTTCTTCAACGCGGAGGTAAGCCTATGGGTGAGACTTCCGGTTCATTAGCCGCTATAGGTAAATAACGAGGAGAATAACAACGTGCAGTAAACGGTAAAACTGTTTGCACTACAAACCAGTGTGTTCATAATTTCAGATAATACATTAAAATAATATGATAAGACACACCAACTTTCAATATCAAGCAGCAAAACGAACTGTTTTGTTCAGCTAAAAATAGCTGGACGGAGTGGACGCAGATGAAACCGGAAACCATACCCATATATTTTCCAAATGGCCGTGCCCATTTTTACGACAAGAAAAAGGTGGATACATTTTAATTCCTTTGTTTAACTGTTCTATCTGATTATTATTAGACAGACTTCTATCAGTCAGTCCACAGTAAAATTCACACAGCCTGCTTAAAGTTCTAGCTAGTTTTCACGAACCATTGTGACTTCCGTAAAAAGTTGACGTCAGAACTACACAGTCACCGCCTTCAGTTACCACCCACCGCCCACCGTCCCACTCTCCTTTTGCCAAACCCCCAGACAACATCGCGCCCATGCCATTGCTGAGCAACAACAACACGGAAACATGTCGAAAAGGTTAACTTTAACCACGAAACCAGATCGGACGACCTGTAACGTTACACTCTCACTCAAAGGATGGACGATCTGACAGGATTGTTACTATGAGGTGGATCACATCTAACATGTAAAGTAAAGACAAACTCACCGTGTCTATATAGTCATGATGAAGATGTATATACATTTCAATTTCAGCAGGCAACTATTTTTACAGCTA